AATAAAAACCAAAATTGTTGGCACAGTATTTGCTTTACTGATGAGAGTAACGTTTTTTTCATGTTAACAAACAAAATTGTAATGAAATGAATGGAAACACTTTTGTCTAATTTCCACTAGTTATTTTATTTTTACGGCCGTTTTCGAGTTTAATCCCATTATCAAGTCTAAAAACATTTGAAATCTAAAAACGTCCAAATCTAAAAAATCGAAACTCCCCATATGACCAGGTTTTTAGATTTCAAATGTATTATTAGTTAGTTTTTATACTTGATAATGGGATAAAACCCGAACCCGGTCGTAAAAATGAAATAACCAGTGGAAATTAGACAAAAGTCTTTTCACTCATTTCATTAAAGTGATCATGAATTGCCACAAAATAATTACACAATTTCACAAATTAAACAAAATTGTCACTATAGTCAGAAAACAAAGCCTCAAATTCATGTACAGATTAATATACAGAGACAACTGCGGAATTTTTTAGAAAAAACAATGTGGAAGTGACATTCACATGCCAGGTTATCTCCTTTTTAATGCCAAAGGTAAAGTGGACAAGATGGAGAAATCTGGAGTTTATAAGCTTAAGTTTCCGGAGTGTAATCGTGTTTATGTGGGACAATGTGGCCGAAATTATACTATGGAAAGAGCATTTGATTGAAAAGGGGGTAGTTGAACATGGGATTTCTAACCATTTCATAGTCTATTGTAAACTTAATTTGAAAAGGGTTACAGTCCCAAAGATGTATACTTAGCGATGTTATAAACATTTTGACGAAGCGTTGTTCATTATTGATTTGAGAAATATATCATTCTTCCGTATATTCGACCAAGATGATGTGGATGAAAAAGTATCATATTTGGTAAATTGATACAATAGTACAATTTCTCATTACTGCCCACTGTTTAATCTGGCTTCCGAAAAGGTCATTGAAAAAGTATCATATTTGGTAAATTGATACAATAGTACAATTTCTCATTACTGCCCATTGTTTAATCTGGCTTCCGAAAAGGTCGTAGCTGCACTACTGTCTCACTTAATATTGTAGATGATATAATTACTTCTATCGATAAAGGTCAATGTACAATTTTAGTTCTTTTAGACTTCAGTAGAGCATTTGTCACTATAAATACAGACTTGCTACTAAACATTTTGGGCTATATAGGTTTTTCTGATTGGCAACCTTTCTTTTACCAAATTATTCAAGTAAGAGGAAGCAGTGTGTAGAAATTGAAATGATCCAATCTGAATATTTGACACTGAAATCATATACTATCAATTTGATCAAATCTCTAAAGCTATGTAAGATTCACGTCTATGCAGATGACACCCAAATCTATTAGTTTTTCTCCCCCACTAGTGGATAATGCTTGTGAAATTATAAATCAGGAATTAGCGACCTTCATTGATTCAGCTGCTGATCACTGCTTATTGATCAACTCTATCAAATCAAAATTATTGTTGTTTGGTTCTGCATATAATCGTGCTAAAACGCAGCAAATAAACGTTAAAATCAAAGATAATTTGTCATATTAGTTATATTAGACTCAGATCTAAGATTCGAAAAACATATCAATAAGTTAATTCAACGTGCATATAGCTCATTAAAATTTATTTATGGGAACACTTTCCAAGAAGTGTTAAAATAAAATTATGTGAAACATTAGTTTTGTCAAATTTTGATTATGCGGATTCGTTATATGGTCCAAATCTGACTACTGTTTACAGTAAAAAAATCCAGAAAGTACAAAACTCTTGTCTGAGATTGATATATGGCATACAAAAATTTCAAAGAATATCACACAAATTGCTTGAAATCGGATGGTTGGATATAGAACTTGGAAGAATTCTCCATGCAAATATGTCTGATATGTCTGGAAAACCTATTATTTGAAGATAGGCAAGAGAGAAAATCTCTAGTTACCCATTTGAAGACTATCAAAGCTAATAAACTAGAGGCTAAGCTCAGAAAGAATTGATGGGGAAATCTGTACCTACTCTGTCTGAATTGAATGAGAATTCGATCTTCGCACACCAAACTTCAAGTAGAAACTCAATTTCTGTTATGGATAAAGCTTCAGACCGTAACGCTATATAGACAAAATTCTACTGAGGCGATTACAGTCATATATATACACACATAATATTTCTTCATAATTTTGTTTTCTTCTTGTGAATAACTTGTATTTCTTTCTTCTCTCTCTCTTTTATTAATTCATTTTTCACATTCTAAACGATGTTTAAGATAGCATATTTAAATTTAAGGTCAATCAACAGGTTTCGCACAATTCAGTATCTAACTATTTTCTTAATGAGAGACTTGACATTATTTGCCTGGCTGAAACCTGGCTCAATCATGATATTAGCTCATACATATTCACCGTACGAAATTATATTCCCATTCGTGCAGATAGGAATGGCAGAGGTGTATGTGTAGGTTTCTACGTATATAGTAACATAAACTATAATTTTTTTTTTCAAATATCCCAATATTTAGAACAAATTTAGATTGATGTTAAATTTAGAAGTAGAATTTATATAATAGGAGTTATATCTACCGTCCTCCCCAAGGTAATATTCTCCAATCTCTTAACCAGGTAGAAGATGCAATTGGAAATCTGCTATCCACCTGTTACTCTCTGACTATTGTTGGAGACTTGAATATTAATCTACTTCTTCTGATCTACTGCTCAATTTTTTCGAACTACACCAGTTGATGACTACTCCTACTCGCATTACATCAACAAGTCGGACTTTGTGAGCTCTCAGCTAGATGACAGTGATTCAGTAGAAAATCATGATGTTCAAGACATTTCTGATTACCTCATGATCAGTTCTATTATCAAATCAATCGACATTCCAAAGCAGCAGTATATCTCTCAACGTGACTTTACTAAATTTGATCTTATTCAACTTGATCTCAATCTCATCATCGACTGGAATCACATTTATACTTTAGAAAATCCTAATGATGCACTTACTTTCTTGTATGACAATCTTATAGCCCCTTATGATAAACATGATCCGGTTAGAAGGGTTAGAACTACTAAACGTCCAGCCCCGTGGATGACACCCACTATTGAAGAAATGATGAAGATCAGAGATAGAGCCTTGACCAAATTCAAGCATACCGGACTAGCAACTGACTTCATTTATTACAAAGACATACGTAATTATATAACTGCAGCCATAACATCTGGCAAACCTACATATCTCTTTAATAAACTTATGTTTAAAAACCTCAATGGGGTGAACACAAGAAAAAATAATATGCTAGTTATTCCCAAACACTCAAGTGCACTGTACCAATGTTTTTTTTTTCATATTCAGAAACCAAATTTTATAACACTCTTCCCAAGAAGTTTTGGAACGTCTCTTTATATAATTTCAAGAAGAAATTGAAAACCGTACTTCAGTACTTCAGTCACTATAGATTTGCTTTCACGACGGACCTGTATATGATAATTATTTACGCTATGTAATCAAATAAAGGAAAAATATCTTTGAGAAATTTAGGTACCAATTAAATTTTTAATACTTTTATACTTATACTACTATAAATTGTTCTGAAATATTGTAATGAATTAAAGAATTAACTCTCTTAAATAAATTTATTTTAACAATACTTCACTATCACAACTAATTTATTTACACCACTCAGTAACTAACGCTTAATTTATCTTCACCGTTTGTTAACCGCTCGATTCGCTTTCTTGGTACAGACTACTCTTCGGGACGAAGAGCGACGTTTTTATATCGTCAACGAACGTTCCGGATCCCTCTGCGGATTTCGGGACCCATCCGGAGTTTTCGCGGTATGCGTCATGCGTTGGCTGACAGGGACACCGGTCAGGGCCGGCTTCAGATTCATTACATTGCCCCCTCCTTAAAGACGTTTCGCCCCGAAATGTCATCCTTGGCGTGTGTCGATACCTGCAGAACTCTCCATATTTGCACTGTGAAGTTCGATGGAAGTAACACTCCACAGTCTTTATGCTCAGTCGTGGAAGATGGTTACCACACACCA